CTCAGCGGCGCCGGCCTTCGGGGTCCTTGGCCTCGCTCGCCCCTTTGGCTTTGGCCCACGGGAGCGGTGCAGCCGGGGCCCCGCGCAGCCCGGAGTTGTTTGCCCAGACCTGCGTGGCCACCTCAACAGGTTCGCTCTGACTGCACACCGTGCTTCTGCGTGGGGCCACCAGGAGCGCACAGGGGTGTTGGGAAAGGTGGCGACTCAGGAAATTATTACTAACAACAACAACAAAAAAATCACAAAAATGTAAACCAGCAGCTTCTGAGTCCTCGTCCCTGCACCCATCTTCCTTTGAGATGTGATCTGGCAGCGGCAAAGCCAGAAGTAACAATCCTGGGGCACCAGGAGAGGGTTTTAGCAGACTTTAAAACAGGAATATCACAGGAATGTGAGACGCCAGTTTTATGTCAGCACCACATATTCACTCTGCATGTTTCTTAGCCGCTCGGTATTCCCTGGCAGCCAGACCCGCTGCCCAAAGGCATGGGTGAGTTCACAGCCAGTACCAGATTTTGCAACCAGAAAAGGCGCTGTGCCATGGGGATGCATCACCTCGCAGCTTCCCGGGGAAGAGCTGCGCCATGGGGCATTACTGCCTTGGGAGCCAACAAAATCACAAAGAATGAGCTGAGCCAACATCTGGTCTGACAAACCTTCCAGGAGGATGGAGAACACAGGCGGAGCCCGCTCTGGTGTTGCATCCCGCACACACAGCGAGCACCGTGGCAGCAGGAGTCACCTCAGAGCCAAGGCCACACTCCCCGCCTGCTCTGCCCTCGGCCATCCCTGAGCAGGCTTGGCGCTTGGGCGGGCTTTCCCTCCCCAACCTCAGCACCGTGTCCCCACCACACCAAGGAGACATTGTCAGAGCCACCTGCTCTGCTGGCAGGGACCATGATCCATGTCCCCCAGCTCCTGATGGCAGTGGAAGAGGCACACAAATGCAGTGTGTGAGGCCACCCGTGCCAATGTCACCCGTTAAGGTCAAGGTGACTTTGTCTGCCGCTCTCTCAGTTGCAGCCTTCCCTTGGAGTGCCCAGAAGGCTCCCGTGGGTGGCAGGGACAGGGTAAAGCTGTGGAGATACCGGTATCAAACCAGGTTCTCGGGCTCTGCCTGTGCCATCCTTGGCCTGTGGACTGAGTGAGCAGCCATAGCAGCAGCACCCATCCTGCCCCCAGCTCAGACTCCTATGTTTCTCCCTCCTGGCATGGACAAAGGGGACAGAGCTCCCCTGAGCTACCCGCTGCCCGTCTCCCACCCTGGCCATTGCTGGGAAAACCGCCTGCTCACAGGAATGTGCCGGACAACCTGGCACTGGTCCGGCTTTGGGCAGGGGGTGAGGAGAGACCTCCCGAGGCACCCACCGACCCGAGTGTTCCTGCACTGCTAAACCCCGGCAGCCCCCCCCCTCCACATCAGGGGGTGCTGAGCCCCGCCGGAGAGCCAGGCCCTTGCTGCCCTCACCCAAGGCAGCCAAGAACTGGTGGATCTGGAGCCAGTGGACGCCTCTGGACACTTGGTAACATGTGCTACAGTCCCAGGGGCTGATTCAGAGCCCCTGGGACTGAGGCAAAACCAATGCCTGCCCCGATGCTGCGGATTCAAGGACAGGTGGGAAACAGGCGTGACCAGCATGTCACCCCCACCATCCTGCTGAGTAATTAACTCCAATTTACCAAAATTGGAGCTGAAGGGCTGCAAGCTTCTTTTGTCACTGGTGCCTATGTAAACATTACCCCTGGTGTAAATCAGGATTATCTCCCCGACCTCAACACAATTACTCTGTTTATAAAAAAACCAACTGGGGGGCAGGGAGGGGAGAAATTGCTGATGACCTTACAGCTCTGTGGGCGGCCGGGCTCATCTCCACCATGTAGTGATCCTTCAGTGCAGCAGGAGCCACCAGCGGAGAATTTGCCGGTGCACAAGGAGGAGTCCCACGGCCTATGCAGCCTGACACGTGCCCTCTCCTCACCCAGGCACGGTGACACAGGGACGAGCCTGCCAGAAGCCATGGTCCGGTTTATGCAGGCCTGGTGTGGTGGTGATGCCGGGGTCTGATGCAATTTCACACTGGCCAAAGCTTGCTCCGTGGGCTGGGATAAGGATCACAGGACGGTGTGATCCAGACAAGCCGGGCTGATTCTGGAGACTCGGTTTGATGTGTTTGCTCAGCTGCGCCTGAGCAGCTTTGGCGTCCAGCTTTCGAAAGCCTTCCCCGCCGCTGCTGCCGCGGCCCCTTTGGCCAGTGTGGCAGCTTCCCCGGAGCCCCTGAGCAAGACTTCAGCCTTGTTTGGGCTCTGGGGCTGGCGGCCTTGGTGCTGGCGGCCTTGGTGCTGGCGGCCCGCAAGCAGGTGGGGAGCTCGCAGGCTGCTCCGGCATCACGCCGGCAGAGCCGCACCGCGGCAGGGTCTGCCGGGAAGGGGCGGCCTGTGCGTCTCAAAGCATTTCTGTGCCCAGACAGAGCCAGTTCTGCCGGAGACGCAACCCGGCGGCACCGGAAGAGAGGAGCTCCGGCAGCCTGGTGCGGGGACGGGTTTTGCCGGTGACCTCCAGCAGCCCCCGCTCCTGGCCCTTGAGTGCTCCAGTGCTCGGTGGAGCAACTCATCCCCGGAATGACCAACCTGCCCGGCCCGCGCTGCGCCGGAGCGGGGACGAAGGGGGGGTAACCGGGAGGCGGGAAACGAGCGGCTGCGGCACGGCCGGGCGGAAAACCCTCCCGTGCCG